GCTGTGCTGTTTCACCTTTACCTGTGCAACATCTCTGCAACTTTGGTGAAGCAGCCAAGAGACAGGAGGACAAGAATGGCCTTGGATTTCTGGTTGACCTGCGGGGAGCAGAGGTGATCGACCCARCGCCTGAGCACATCGGCGCACTCCTCCGAGTTCAGACGGACCTGCAGGACACAGCAGAGCCRGGGTCAATTCCCAGCTGCAGGTAAAGACAGCATTCAGCTTCTGCTTCATTCTTTTCAGGGMAACACTTTGGGCAGAAGCAAAAGCATCTGAAAAGATCAGTTTTTAATAAAAATCACACACATCCCTTGAATATGACATAAAGGAAAAATAGAAATATCCAGGTATAAAGATACCAGCACTCRGGTCACTCCATTTTCAAATGTGATTAACATTATTTTAACCCCAAGTTTTTTTAAATCACAAAGTTAGAAATCTTCACTCTTTACTGTAGGTTTAAGGACAAAACATCTTTACTTTTCTTAAAAGCAGGATTCACTCATTTAGAAAATCTAAATACAAACTTTTCCATTCTTTCTTCAGGAAACATAAAGAAACTTTWCTTAAGAGACACTGAAAAATCCTTATTGACTCCTGCCCATTTATGATGTGGAGAATGAACACTATGTCTGGGTAGTTTTGCTGTAATTATGTCTGCACACCAAAACAGAAGGTGATGCAAATTCACATGGGTGGTGCTAATTTTGAAATCAGCTCATACGCTGCATGGAGCTGAGCACAAAGGCACTGTCCAGTTAATTATCCACATCCAAGAGTGGTTTCCTGGGGTTTATTACCAACTTTGTACTGCTGCAGCTATATGRGACTACACAAACACTGCTCAGAAATTAAAAAATTTGAGCATCCAATCCTTTTTAGGCCCCAATAGTGTAATGTGGACAACAGGGGCAGAGCTGGGTGGTTTSAAGGCTGAAGAACATGTCAGTACTGATTGAAGGGCCTTTTGTTAGGACATGGAAAGAACTGATTATGGCATTTCTGATTGATGTTTCAGTTATTCAGGGAACTTCAGCACCCTCCTCAGCCTTCCTGAGCACAGATGCAAAGCAGGTGGTTGGTGTTAYCAGACTGGGAGAGAGGAACTGCACACCTTGGCAAGCCAGGCTGCTCGGTTCCACTCGCCGTAGGTCTGCAGGTAGCGACAGGCATCAGCAGCCTTGTCAATCAGACACAGCAGCTG